GAAAATGTCTGAAATCTTATTATACTCCGTTTACTTAGTGGTTCTGTGTATGTAAAATATTCGGTCATACAGCAGCAATGATCAGAATTTGTATTAGATTGTAATTTTAATGTGTTTATATGTCGCAAATACGGTACAGAAAATTCCTGAAATAATTTTCGAAGTGAATTTATATAATGCGTATCTATCTCACAGTGTGCATACTTCACACTGTGCATACTTCACACTGTGCATACTCTGTCCAGGCTTTACACTATGCATACCCACTTTAATAATCATGATCCAGGTGTTAAATCTGAATTGTGCAGCAGGTAAAGGTGTAAATCGAATCTCCCTCGATGTAAGAATTTAAGCAAACTTTTATTTGTCTATTTACTTGAAGCTATTTACTTTTGTCCAGCGGGCAGAACTACAGCGGGGAATCCCTTTGAGCGCAAATACCCCGATGTTTTTATTCATTTGTTTTTCCAATGGGTAGAAGTGCGATTCGATTCCCCCCTTGAATGTACTGTAGTAGGATTTAATCGTGGACTTTACGAGGGAGGAAAACAAAAAGTGTTAACGGGAAGGGGTTGGTGAACTACGTCCCCGAGTAATCATGAAAACAAGGTGAGGTGAGGTGAGGTTAGGTGAGTTTAGGTAAAGTGAGGCGAAGTTAGGGGAGGTTAGCTTAGATTAGGCTATAAGTTAGGCTAGGTTCCGGTGTATCGTGGCTCTGTTTACTGGAGGAAAATTAGATTTGTCTTGTGGTGTCCCTTTGCATACATAATGATAGGGCTCCCTACGCCTGCCACCACCACCACCACCACCGTCCTCCCCTCCCTACAGTGAGTGGAGATCCCGGAGCGGCTCTCTAGAACACTGGGAGGCGGAGGGAGTGAGTGTTTCATGGATTCAGTGTTACATGAGACGGTTTATGGTGGAGCTGTTGTATTTTGGGTTATAGGGGCGACTTATGGTTAGGTTAGGTTAGGTAGAGACCCTTGCCTTATAACCTACCCAAAGGAGGACCTTGTAGTGCCATTTAGTGCTATCACCAGGAGGGGCGTTGACTCTGTGCCATGATGAGAGTGCCATGAGAGGGTGCCATAATGTGAGGGTGCCACAAGTGCTATGCGAGTGTGTGGAATAAGACATACATATAATAATAAAAATATCTCATAATGCGATCGTAACAGTTATCAAAATAGTATTATAATAGGTGTTATGTGAGGTCATGTGAGGTCATGTCATGTCATCGCTCCTTGACTGATACCATACTGATAACAGAGAAGCTTCAGGCAATCATTTCACTAAAGCTGTAAGAAGTTGTGTGAGTGTCTGCTCTATGATGGCATTCAGACGTGATTACACTTATGCCTCAAAGCTTATCGTCATGAATGATTCCTCTGAAGTATTCCTTGGCGTTCCTTTCATGTGTTGTGCATAAAATCAACAAGACTACATACACGTGTAGAGAAATATATATATATACACACACTTTGTAGACCGGTTAGAAGAGTTCACAAATTAGTTTCTCTCGCGTATTGCTGGACGGAGTTGCTCAAAGTTACTCTCGTCTCCAGGTTTCATAAGAATGATAACTTGGTTTGAGTTCCGCCTTTATGTTCATCTTTAGATCACGATGAAACAATATCCTCCAGTGACTGTTACTTCCTCCACCTCGAGTCTCACGTGGCCAAGATGTTGCACACTTCTCATTCTCTTTCTATTTTCTCTCTCCGTAATGGTTCAGTTACCAAGGTGTGGGCTGGTAGTGATGAGGCAAGCAGGGCGGAACATTCATCATGCGTGAGTCTGGCATATTCATAGGTAGATCAGGGTTCATTATCCCTGTATATGATGTGGAAGCATTGAGGGAGAGACTAAGGTAATGCCGACCTGTGTGAGAAGCTGAGAGGGAACCACATTAAGGTTTATATAGTTGTGGCTTGTCTCATTCACCCGAGTCTGTCTGTCGCCCGTTTTACACTTGAGTCTATCTCCTGCGTCTCACACTCGAGTCCCCCCTGCCTCTCTTCATCATACTGTCTCCTCTAAAGTCTTCTATTATTACTGTTATTTTATCCTATTTTTTTTATATTCTCTGTTTACTTTGTCTCAGGTTTACTGTTTTCTTACTGTCTCTGTTCATGCACATAATTATATACACTTGCTGAAATGGGAAGTAACCACGACACACACTCATACATAAACAGTCATCACACACACACACACACACACACACACACATAATGATGTCACAACCATCCTATGACAATTCGTTCTGTTCTACACGAAATATGACCACTATCAAGAATTTTTAAGGAGAATAGGGAAGGCATCTCTCTCTCTCTCTCTCTCTCTCTCTCTCTCTCTCTCTCTCTCTCTCTCTCTCTCTCTCTCTCTCTCTCTCTCTCTCTCTCTCTCTCCGGAGGCCTAGTGCGGTGGCAGGCGAGACACAGGCCTACTCCACGGTAACAGATGATCAGGACAGCAGGTAACCCACGACACATAAATCCTCTAGATGACAAAAATAGGATTATCAGGATACACACGACGAGGTATCCTATCTTCCTCTACCTCCTCTGTCTTCCTCTACATCCCTCACCCCTCCTCCTCCTCTCCCCCTCCTCTCACCCTCCCCCTCCTCCCCTCCCCTCCCCCCCCTCTCATTATTTTTCTCCAACCCACCATCCTTCTCACCCCCCCCCTTACTCCTCCTCTGTCCTTGTCTCCTCACCTTCCATTCCCACACACACACACACACACACACACACACACACACACACACACACACACACACACACACACACACACACACACACACACACACACGCGCGCGCTCTATCAAATGCATTCTTGTGTGATGCTTCCATGTCTCCTCCACCCTCATCTCCTCCAAAGCGTCTGTCACTTCTTCCACATTCCCATACTCATCCATCCACACTTTATCAGACTATCCATCCTCCACTCTTTAATAAACTGTCCTTGTCGCCCTCTTCTCTCTTTCCCCTCCTTTTCCTTCCCTTCCTCCCCTTCTTCCTCTTCTCTCTCCCCGTCCTCCCCCTCTCTACCTATCCACCTCTTTCCTACATTGAAAAACGTAACTGTCATAATCCCCAGAAATCAAGACATAACTTCCATTAGCAAGCTGGTGGGCGACTGTCATTTATTTACCGAACACGTCACAGCGGCCACTCTGTCTGTGTCAACCGCCGCCCCTCCTATCACCGCACGCGCTATCTGCTTCACAATAGCCCCACCATCTACCCCCCCCCCCCCCCCCCCCCCCACCCCCCGTGTGTGTGTGTGTATGTATGTGTGTGTGTACGTTGATGAATGGGAAGTGATACCTTAAGTGTATACTCTCAGAGGAGCAACAACTCCAAAAGGCCCCATCAGCTCAGAGTCGCTGCAGAAGACGGTGACATACCTCCTCTGGCTCTTATCCCGCCAGTATTTACACGGATATATTTCAACGTCATCAAAACTGCACCACGGGAAACGAGACAGAGCTGGAGAATTTATGCCCAGCCATCAACATCGAACTCTTTCCAGCTGTGGGATTGTCACTGAAGTATAATATCTCGTTTTATAAATGGCTTAGGATGGTCACTTACCTAGCCCGAGTAAGACGCTAAGGAAATGCACCTGATAATTACGTTCTTCAGTGTCGTGGTGATTCTCTATTGTCTCCCGTCGCTAGGATGTCCGGTGGAAATATTCGCTCATAAATGCCTCACAAAAGGTCGACCAACTTTACTACAGACGCTCCATTGTGACTTGTTGTTAGATCCACCTGAAAATTACCTCCATGACATAATTAATTTACGCGCCAGTGTAACTCTGTAAACTTGACTTACGACCCACGAGTCGGAGGTTGACTTCTTTACACCAAAGTTGAAGATGAAATTCTCGGGTGTTTTAATTTCCCTCACTAGCAACATGGTCTGTTAAGTGAAATATTCCGCTTAATATCTAAATAAACATCTGTATATTCATGGATTTGAAACTTCTTGCATAGTTATAATTATATTTGCATATATATCAAGACGAGCAGTGTGAGTTGGAACCCTCGCCACCTCTCTCTCTGTTTGTGGTTATGTCTGGTGAAACCGCAGATGTTATTTGATATTAAAACTCCTTTTGTGTGAGGAAGTCTTCACAATACCTCACCTGCCTCGTACGTAACAAAATATTGACGTTGTAGTGTACTTTAGTTGTCTTGTGCTAACCAGGTTTCCTCCTCAAACACTGTGGTCTTCCTAACTGCATTAATATACATGGGTAATGGTGTAGTCTTCATATGCTGGGTAATTAATTTTCTCTACGATAATAAATCTTAACCTTTTTGTGTATAGGTGTGTGTGTATAGGTGTGTGTGTGTGTGTGTGTGTGTGTGTGTGTGTGTGTGTGTGTGTGTGTGTGTGTGTGTGTTTGTTTGTTTGTTTGTTTGTTTGTTTGTTTGTTTGTTTATTTATTTAACGCCGCGGTACTGTACTTCCCGTGATTATTTCCTGACGATGTGTTGGTGACGAGCCAGGGAGGAAGGGCGCATTTAAAACAGGCTGTGGGTTGAATGCATAATGGAGAATGGCAAAGTTTATGTAGTGGGGTGAGGTTTGCTGGTGTGAATGGCTGTTGATTGGGAGTGACAAGAGTATTCAATGGACGGTGCTTGTACTGCTGGGCCCTCTGATGCTGTCATTTGGCAACTCATCCACAAATATCTTTCATTCATTGACTTGGCTATTTACAATGGGAGATGTGGTGAAGGGTGAGGGGATTATGTTACGTGTTGATGTTATGCTTTTATCCTTGTGTGTGTGTGTGTGTGTGTGTGTGTGTGTGTGTGTGTGTGTGTGTGTGTGTGTGTGTGTGTGTGTGTGTGTGTGTGTGTGTGTGTGTGTGTGTGTGTGTGGAAAAATAAAAAATGATAGATAGATAGAATTCACACAGCCTCACACAACACCCACCACACTTTTTTTTTTAACTTTCGTAATTTTTCCCTTCCTCAGATACACGTATTGACGTTACGGAGGAGTCAGGGAAGCACCGTCGTCACAACCTCCTCTCTCGGATAACACTGAGGCTCTCCCCGGCTGATGACGGCTCCCACTACTCCTGTCACGCCCACCACCGCGCCCTCAGCACGCCCATGCGAGCCTCAGTCAAGATCTCAGTGCTATGTGAGTATGGTATTAAACTAGTCTCTCTCTCTCTCTCTCTCTCTCTCCAATGAATACATTATTGGTATACACATGAGTACACATCCAATGCACACATGCGTATATCTGTATGAAACACACACACACACATCTATTTTAAGTTCTTAATGTACAATTTCATTGAAAAATAGAAACCTGACTCGTGTACCGAAACAAAACAATTTATTATATACAATGAGTCTGTACATGTCAGTGTCTTTTTATTTCCAGTTACTTCAGTCCAAAAGGCTTCTATAATACACCATTGACTTTCTTTTTTCTTTTTAATGTGAAAGTTATATCAAATCTTTCACCCGAATAGTCAGTAACGCTTCCAATATTCAGTATAAATAATGTGAATATTAACTATTCCTTAACGGGTGATTTTTGTTATATATTCATACAGTTTTAATTGAGGTATGACCATCCCATGATCAGCACCGAGGGATTCACTTGTACACTCCAATATCACAGTTTCTTCAACGAGTATTTTGTTTACAAGAGGTGTGGGGATCCTATTTACTGTTAACGAGAATCTTTGTGTACGAGAGAGATCCTGTGCTTAAGAGATGAATTTTCCATTTTCTTAAACGAAAGATACCTAATAAAAGTGACATTTATATCCCATCTTCTTTAAGAAATGTTTATAGTAATTTTGTTTAATGATGGATTCGGTTCACCTGAAGATTAGCACCCTAGCTTGTTTTACCTTAAGATTAACCACTCTAATGCTAAACTAATCTTTAACCTGACCTAACCTATAACTTGATCTGACTCCTAACTTAACCCCTGGAATAAGTTAGGGGGTGTCTGATCTTCAGGTGATCCAAACATTCCTTTTAAAAAAAATACAATAACGTTACTAATAAAAAAAAACACAAATAAATAATATTCCTGATTGTGTTACAGATCCTCCCGGGCCGCCAGTCATCACAGGATACACTAAGGGCGAGTCGATCCGGGCGGGGGAGGAACGAACCCTCACCTGCAGATCTCGTGGTGGTAATCCTCTAGGTCACGTCGTCTGGTACCGTAACAACGAGAACAAAGACGGCACCGACCGCCCTGTAGGAGGTGAGAGTGTCAACGAGTACAAGTTCATCGTGGATTCTTCTGACAACGGCGCCGTCTACACCTGCGAAGTGAGAAACAAACTAACGGAGAAACCCCTCCTCGCCTCCGTCAAGTTAGATGTTCAGTGTAAGTGTTCCAGTGATGTGTTTGTTTTTTCATCCTTCGGGTTTTTAAAGGGTTTTTTCTTATCTTCGTTCTACGGGTTTTGTTTTATTTATATTTGGTATTTTATTGATTTCTTCCTGTGACTTGGTGTTATTTTGTTTTGTTTATTTATTTATGTTGACTGTATTATTGTTTCATGTTGACCTCGTATGATTCACTCCCAGTCTCTCCCTTCCTCCGACCTCCCGACCTCCTTCCCTCTCTCCCTCCCTTCGACCTCCCTACACAATTCTATACACACACACACACACACACACACACACACACTTACTTCTCTCTCTCGTGGGTCCTAAACCAGATAATTTACTGTCAACAAAGTTACCAGCCAAACTTTCCTCCCCGAGTGATCACTACCTCACTGTTCTCAACATCTACAACGGGACAACTGGATCATTTCCCTGAATATCATTACCGGAAAACTTTCTAGTATTTACGAGTGTCCCTCCACCTCCTCCTCTTCCTCCTCTCCCTTCTCCTCCACCTCCTCCTCTCCCTTCTCCTCCACCTCCTCCTCCTCCTTATCCTCTTCTTCATCCTCACCACTACCACCACCATCAATTCCTCCTCCTCCTCCTCCATCCTCACCACTACCATCACAACCTCCTCCTCCTCCTCCCTCCTCCCTCCATCCCACCACTCCTCCACAACCTCCTCCTCCTCCTCCATCCTCACCACTACCATCACAACCTTCCCCTCCTTCATCTTCACTACCACCACTACCTCCTCTTCATGGCCTCTTATCCCAGTAAAAAAAAAAAAACCTCGCCTCGGGAAGAGATCTTTTATAATGCTAATCTGCGTTCTTAAGACCCCGTGGGACCCAAACACCGGTAAGCAAGTGACTCTTTATGAAGTCACAGGAAGGGGTCTTGTTTGGTATTCATCAGCCCCTGTCCATGATGCAGTGCAGGGGAGAGGATGTTGTTCCCTCCTTGCTGTTGTTGTTGGGCCAAACTTGAAGGCATGGAAGTTGGTCGGCAGAGACACGTCGGTACATAGCAAGATATTGGGTAGACAGATGACAAGGTGTTGATGGGTGTGTGTGTGTGTGTGTGTGTGTGTGTGTGTGTGTGTGTGTGTGTGTGTGTTTTTGTTTTAAGGTACATCGTAAATTGTGTCAGGGATAAGATAGCCGGGTCGTGAGGTGAGTCAGAGGGGTGACTAATGGGCATTGGGTTAGATTAGGTTAGGTTGTGTTGCTGGGTTAGATTAGATTAGGTTGGGTTGGGTTAGGTTAGGTTAGTGTAAGGGTGATTCCGATTGCGGGATATATGAAAGATATTGCCAAAAAAATATTAGGTAGAATTTTAATCAGACGACGAATTTAGAAAGACAGGTTGTAGATTTTAAATAATAAATTGAAACGAGAGAAAGTAATGGGTGCAAGGTAGAGGGTGACATATATACAAATATTCACGGATGAAGGAGTAAGAGAAGATGATAATAATAATGATAATAATAATAAGAAGAAGAAGAAATCATGGAATCATTGCTCTTTGAATATGATTACACTCTTTTGGCAGCATTGGGGAAGGTGGTAGTGGAGGGGGGAGGAAGAAAAAGGGGGAAGGGGGGGTCGAGGGGGTAAACGGAGGGGTGAGGGGTGGGGGTCATAATGGGAGGACAGAGGAGAGGTATGAAGAGAAGAGTTTGTGTAGTCTCAGAGCCTCACAAAGAAGCACAGGGGGCTATTACCTGGCCGGGATAAGGCTCTGAATTAAGGAAGAGAGGAAAGCAAGCAAGCCAGGCATACATTAGGGAGTCTCTAGAATTTTGTGAAGGTAGACCCCGCCGTGGGCTAAGATCATGGAGGAGTGGGACGAGAAGGGAGAGGAAGAAGATGATGGAGAAGAGTAAGAAGACGTTGAAGAAGAGTAAGCAGACGATAAAAAAGATAAATAAGACGATGAAGAAAAGGAGGAGTAGGTAGACGAGTAAAAAGAGAGAGATGAAGGAAGAAAAGATCAGAGAACTAGTAGGAGACGTAGGAGAGAGAGAGAGAGACAGAGAGAGACTGACTCAACCATGATATAATTTACGTGAAGACTCGACACGGAAGAATGTACCAGGATGTAAAGCTAATGTTATTGTGAGAAATGTTTTAGTGTGACTTATGAGAGCATCTACACCACGCGCTACTGAACACTGTCTGAGGGTATGTCTGTCTCCATTCACATACATACATACATACATACATACATACATACATACATACATACATACATACATACATACACAGGCTGCACGGAGAACAGGTAGAAGAACGTCAAGGAAAAATGGATTATAAATGAGAAGTCAACAAGAGAAGAGAAGAAGAATTAATAAAAACAAGAGAAGCAAGAAAAAAAAACAGGAGAAAGGGGAGATACAAGATAAGTGATAAGGGGAAATATGAAGAATTATGGGATAAGGAAGAGGAATGGAGAAAGAGAAATGGCAAAACTTGGAAGACAAGAATGAGCTCTTATAGGAAAAGAATGGAAGATTTTGCTGTGTTTTTTTTTGTCCACAGAATTGAGGATGAAGATGATGAACTAGTGAAGGGTTATTTGTTGTTTTGTCTCAAGTAAAATATACAAAAATGAAACAGACCGAAGGAGGAACATGAGAAGGGGAAGGAGGATCAGAAGGAGAATGGGGAGGAAAAGAGAAAAATGAGGAGGAAAAGACAGAGGTGTAGGAAGAGGAGGAGAAGGAGAGGATGACAGCGACAAAGACTCCACAGTAAACAACCTGGACTAACCAACACCTAAACAAAGATTGTCTACACATGACAAAAGTTACGAAGAAGGAAACACAAAAAAAACACCAATAAAAACATGAGAAGCAAAGCGAAACGAACGACCCAAGAAAAGAACCAAGAAAATTGTGGTTGTTAGTTCTATCCACTTGTTCCTTCGTGTGTGTGTGTGTGTGTGTGTGTGTGTGTCCTCTCCATCGAAAGTTTGCCCGTTGTGGCTATTGGCGGCGCACAGACAGACAGACACACGGCCGTACCGGAGTGTGGAGTAGTAGTAGTAGTAGTAGTAGTAGTAGTAGTAGTAGTAGTAGTAGTAGTAGAGCACCTTGCCAGAGAGAGAGACAGAGCAGTCAATTATGCAGCAAGTAAGGCTCAAATAATGGGCTTATATATACAGTATATATCTCGTAACGGCAAAACTCACTTCGACATTTAGCAGTACCTGGTATCTACTTGTGGGTCCGATATATGAATGGTATATAACTCGTGAACGCTGCTGAATATCATGTTAAATTGCGTCGGGATAACATTGGAAAAAATATAATACGAAGAAAAATCTGAGAAAAGGTTCGCCTTACCAAGAGACTCAGCTGCCAGATATTGCCATAAGAGGAGTCCAGGGATGTTTTCCGCAGATGTATGTCTCGTGTGTATTTCCGCGGATTTGAAGTTTGTACACACACACACACACACACACACACACACACACACACACACACTCTGCATCACTGGTTCCTCCGGTGCTGGCGTGTACATAAATATGGATCTTCGGTGCAATACCATGTTTGCATTTCCGTGCGTATCTTCGGCCTGTTTATATATATATATATATATATATATATATATATATATATATATATATATATATATATATATATATATATATATATGTGTGTGTGTGTGTGTGTGTGTGACCTTTACTTTGACAGATGTTTTATTAAAGCGATTCAAAAAAGATTGGAAGAAATGAGTCAGTGCTCATAGTGGTCACACAGTACAGATGACCTCCATTATTCACCTTTCATCACTTTTTCTAAAAATAAAATAGCGAGAGAAATCTACTAAGCCGAGATTCGCTCAATTTACCTGTATCGGAAACTGTTTCTTGCGTGATTTAGACATTTCTTGTGGATATCGCTCCTGGCCCACAATGGCTGACTAAAGAAAAATAATGAAATAAGTTTCCCAGTTTTTCATCTTCTTCAGCCACTCAGATTTTACAGTAATATATTTATTTTATTAAGAAGTTATGAAATCGAGGAGCAATAGCATGATGCTCTAAGGTGCTGAGGGGAAGTGATGATGACGCCATGTTCTTCTGTCGTAGGGGAACACTGGGTCTGATCCAGCCTTTCATCCTGAGACATACGAGTGGAAGAGAGAGAGAGAGAGAGAGAGAGAGAGAGAGAGAGAGAGAGAGAGACGAATAAGAGCGTCATCGGAATCCGATTCACGTACAAAGAGGAAAAAAAATGCGAAGTGGGGGTGGGAACCTTCTTGCCGGGGCCCTGTAGTGAAGTGGTGGTAGTGGCTGGTGGTTGTGGCTGGTGAAGTGGTGGTAGTGGCTGGTGGTTGTGGCTGGTGAAGTGGTGGTAATGGCTGGTGAAGTGGTGGTAGTGTCTGTCAGTCAGTTTATATGATCTTTCAAAGGTCAGATTGTGAGTCAAATAAATTAATAAATAAACTGATGGCTAAATGTGTCATTGTATTATCTGATAAGGAAAACAATGAAGAGAGTAAAGTCATTATAAATAAAACAAATGAAGAAAAATAAAATTAAAACTATGAAATATAAATTCACTTGTAGTTAAAGAGACAAAATAAAGTAGAATAATAAAGGGAGTTGATGTGTCCGAGAACTGAATGTAGGCAGAATTACTCTCGTTCAAAAATCCGCTTACAAATATAAAGGAGACCAAATTAACATTCACTTGCGTTTCTTTTAATTGGACGCGGATTTAAAGGACTGGACTGGGGGATTCAAAAAGATTCAAATTGAATTTTATTTGAATTACACCAAATTAACAAACACTGCCAGAGTTTTCACGAGGATTTAAAATGTGTGTAGAATTTTCTTTTTTTCGGGGTGGGGAGGGGGTGGGGCAGGCTAGTTTAGTAACTGTGTGTGTTTATTATTATTATTGTGGGGGTGAGAAATTTACGGTCACTATATTTACTTTTTTATAAACATTGTATCTTTTTCTGAGTTGGTGGGGGGGGGTGGGGGTGGGTGTGTAAAAATAAAAAAAAAAGACTAGTGTTTCACCTGGACAATAACAATAAAGGAAAAATAAGGAAAATCGAGATCTAATACACATACAAGGTAGGGAATCACCTCGGAAATATGGATTCCCTGCCGTCCTCATGGGATCTGTTCGTTCCTATTGATGTTCCATATCCTGCTGGGTATTCCCTGCCATCATCAGAGAATCGAATCGCCTTTGATCTTGGCAACGCAGCATGTGGAGGATATCTTTGCCAGCGTCGCCAAGCGTTTCTCCTCCCCGCGTGATGAGCTATAAAACGTCACTTGGCCCCGTATAAGAACTCACTATGTGGGATGTATCTCTACACCGGTTCTTCCAGAGGTTATCGACGGTGTAATGCCTTGGGAGCTTTTTTTTTTTGAGGTTTGTGAATTTGCATACAGAACCGTGTGACGATACTGAGACGTGGAGAAGTAAGGAGGGTTTTGATTAATATACCTCTCTCTCTCTCTCTCTCTCTCTCTCTCTCTCTCTCTCTCTCTCTCTCTCTCTCTCTCTCTCTCCTCTCTCTTCTCTCTCTCTCTCTCTCTCTCTCTCTCTCTCTCTCTCTCTCTCTCTCTCTCTCTCTCCTCTCTCTCTCTCTCTCTCTCTCTCTCTCTCTCTCTCTCTCTCTCTCTCTCTCTCTCTCTCTCTCTCTCTCTCTCTCTCTCTCTCTCTCTCTCTCTCTCTCTCTCTCTCTCTCTCTCTCTCTCTCTCTCTCTCTCCTCTCTCTCTCTCCTCTCTCTCTCTCTCTCTCTCTCTCTCTCTCTCTCTCTCTCTCTCTCTCTCTCTCTCTCTCTCTCTCTCTCTTTCCTCTCTCTCTCTCTCAGGGGGTTAGCACATCACTAAGGAAGAGGGACGACATGTTTCACTTTTTCAGGGAATTGTTAACAGTGTTGGGTTGTCCCTGAAGGAGGCTCCAGTTACCGGAATTCATCGATTCTTTCACCAACTCCCTGTGAATGTTTTAGTTGACTCAGGGGGTGAAATATTCTCTCTCCCAGAGGAGGAAGAGAACCAATTAGAAACTAAATGAATATTGGCTCTCTCTCTCTCTCTCTCTCTCTCTCTCTCTCTCTCGAGCTTTCCTGATTGTTCGTCTGATTTTCCGTATAACCAGTTAGAATGTCTGATGGTATTACATCGTGTATGTGGGAAAATGTGTCTGGTGGGGAGGAGGATGATGGGTAAGGCAACCTGCTGGTTTCTCATGTCTAGGTGTGTGTTAACTCAGTGTACACGCCAGGGTGGTTGAATGTGTAATTTATACAAAGGGCAGAGGTTTGTATCTCATTTGTAGATATAGAACTCTTCCTTCCTTCCTTCCTTCCTTCCTTCCTTCCTATTTATCGTCGACTTTTTCTTGTTTACGAGAAGTATTCACACCGTGGTTCTGGTGAAGGTTTGAGGCCAAAACTCGGAGGGAGGCAAAGGGTGTGATCTTTGTCATGGTTCAATAAACACACACACACACACACACACACACACACACACACACACACACACACACACACACACACACACACACACACACACACCTCATTTATTCATATGTAGCGACGCGGTTGTGTGATTTTTTAATACCGACTCTGAAGTCAAGTGTTTTGGGCAGAGTGCCACCTCTCTTGTTTCTCCTTCATTCTGATACTCCTTCCATTCCCTCCCTCCTCCTCTACTCCTCCTTCCTTCTTCTTCCTTCCTTCAGCACCTCCTCTCTCCTTCTTTCTTCACCTCCATCCCTCCTTCTCTCAATACTCCTCATCCCTTCTCCTCCTCTACCCCACCCTCCTCCCCCACCATCCTCCACCCCCTACACCCCCTATGTCCCCCAAAAAAATGTAAATAAATAAAAATCCTGAATATTTTTCAAGGGGAGGGGAGGTGAGGGGAGAAGAGGGGAGGGGAGATAGGTGTCAAGTATCAGCTGTGGGGACATAACAATATCATACAGTCAGTGGTACTCCCACCTCCTGCCTTTGATCTGTAGAGGTCGTCGTCTTCTGTATCAGTAAAGGCGATCCAACTCCCTCTCACCCTTATGGTTACACTCCCCTCACTTCTCTTTGATGCTTCTTCACACACACACACACACACATCTTTCTCTTATTAGGTTTGGTTAGGTTAGGAAGTCCGTGATATGTACATACATTGGTCGCTTCTGTCAGTCATAATCCTCGTCGTATTAACTTTGAAATTGGGTTCCTAGGCCCTGACGGCTCGTTTTGGTCAGTGAGGCTAGACCATACTGAATACTAAGCCTTTGGTACATAAGAGATCATCATGGACGGCACTACACTCCACCGCCTTCCCTCTCTCAAGTGTAGATTTAGGTACCCATTCACAGTGGGGTCGACAAGGGGTGCCTCGGGTCAACACTGTATCCACTCGACCACCGCACTTAACACATCTACAACACACGTACGTTGTTTACTGGGTCTACACGTCTACAAAGGCAGACAGTTTTCTTTATATATACTGTATATTGATCCTTGCTCACGTTCCATTCTGTGTGTGAGGAAGTTCATACATACACCCTCTTTATTTTACACGAGGCGCTGTATGTCCCTCAGGTTCCCCTACCACACTGTATGTTACTCCACAAGGCCATTATGACACCCACAGTCAATACATCAGGCAGGTTTACTTCCCTTGTTGCCCTCGTGCCTGTGTGTGTGTGTGTGTGTGTGTGTGTGTGTGTGTGTGTGTGTGTGTGTGTGTGTGTGTGTGTGTGTTCATGACATAAAACGGAAGTCGTGTGTGGATACAATACAGAGTTTCTTTGTTGATTTATTTTTGTACAGGGAAGAAAGTCGAGCAAGAACTACCCGGGTGTAAAAGAGTATTAATGGAGTAAGTGTGAGTCATATTTCCTCCAAGAATACTTAAGCAATAGGGAGTTCTGAGAGAGAGAGAGAGAGAGAGAGAGAGAGAGAGAGTTTTTTTCCTAGGGTGTAAGTCTCGTGTCGCATTTTCCAGTTTACAAATTTCTCTCCATTTGCAATTCCGAGGGCGGTGGTAGTGGTGGTGGCAGAGGTGGTGATAGTGGTGGTGGCAGAGGTGGTGGTAGTGGTGGTGGCAGAGGCGGTGGTAGTGGTGGTGGCAGAGGTGGTGGTAGTAGTGGTGGCTAAGGTGGTGGTAATGGTGACCTCTGGCTGTACCAATTCCAGCAGATGAAGAATGAAGATTATATATTTTCTCACCTCAACTCCTTTACATCAGTTACCAAGAGTCACGTAATTTCTCTGTATGTAGGTGCGCCTTTGCCCCCTCCTAACCCCTCCTCCTACCTAACCTAACCCCCCAGATTATTTCACCTTATGATTAGCCACTCGAACCTAACCTAATGTAATCAAACCTAATCCAAGCTAACCTAACCTAACCTAACCTAATCCAAGCTAACCTAACCTAACCTAACCCTCCCAGGTAGTGTTAGGGTGTTTAGTCATCAGGTAGAATAAACTGGGGTGGCTAATCTTCAGGTGATCCATAACTTTACAGATGAGATTTGTTAATTTATTGAGTCTAAGACACCTTAAAAGTCTACTAAGGTGTTATTTGTTTGTATGTATGTATGTATGTATGTATGTATGTATGTATGTATGTATGTAGTTCGCCGTGTGTGTATACGCGCGCGCTTGTTTGGAATAGTTGACCTACTAAATTATATATACTGTGCAATGTCCTCTTTAACTTTTCAAAATATTCCCACTTTGACAGCTCGTTGAGGTGAACTGTTGGAGCCAAGTTCAGTAGTGTCTTGTGAATAATTTATGTATACGTATTTGTTTCTCTCAGGTAGGTTGTTTGTTTGGCTGTGTTTGTTACTCTCAGGTAGGTTGTTTGTTTGGCTGTGTTTGTTACTCTCAGGTAGGTTGTTTGTTTGGCTGTGTTTGTTACTCTCAGGTAGGTTGTTTGTTTGGCTGTGTTTGTTACTCTCAGGTAGGTTGTTTGTTTGACTGTGTTTGTTACTCTCAGGTAGGTTGTTTGTTTGGCTGTGTTTGTTACTCTCAGGTAGGTTGTTTGTTTGGCTGTGTTTGTTACTCTCAGGTAGGTTGTTTGTTTGGCTGTGTTTGTTTTCTCTACAGTTAGTATAACCTATATAGTTTAATCCAACTTCTGTAAAAGGAATGATTAGAGTTATTTAGATTTAGGTCATATAGTGGAAGGTAAAAGGTCAAGGTCAAGGTCAAGGTCAAGGTTTAGGAAGGTCAAGAAGGTTGGTCATCTTTCTAGTCGTCTATATTTTGTCCAAGTTTATGTCCTCGTTCTCTAATTTCCTCCCAACAGTTCAGATGACCGTCAGTTTCAGAGTCGTGTCCTGATACAGTTTGTCGCAAGTTGCAGTAAATTACACAACATTCTGGCCACAACGTCTCAAAGATGGAGAGAGAGAGAGAGAGAGAGAGAGAGAGAGAGAGAGAGAGAGAGAGAGAGAGGTATACGGTGTGTTGTTCATGGCTGCTGCTTTACCATAAGTGGATTTCAGGGTGATTTATCCCCCACTGTGGCCCGCTGTGCTCCTTGGCAGGTCCTGTGGCTCTCCTTGTCCCTTGTATCTAAAGGATTTATTGCCAACAGATGTCTAATAAAAATGTGTATTTATGCTTCTTTCATTCACATATTTTTCTTGTTGATCGTATTGTTTCCTACATCACATTTCAGGTGGAAGACGTCATCAAAGCTGTGTACTAATGTGTTCTTTATACGTGGTTTTATTGTCCTTGTGATGACGCCCTTTAATGTGTTGTGTCTTGGCCATCACTAACAGCGCCTCCTCCCTCCCAACAGTTCTGCCAGACAAGATGGAGGTCACGGGGGTGAAAGAGTCACGAGTCGGGGACAACGTCACCCTCACCTGCTTCGTGGAGAACAGTAACCCGCCCGCAGAGGTGTCGTGGGTGGTGGACGGTCAGCCCAGACCCGAGACGTCGACCCGTCAGGAACCAGCCGGCTCCGGCGGGTGGCACACCATCAGCAAGCTCTCCCTCACAGTGCCACCCGTGGAGAGAGACATGAGTTTCACGTGCCACGCCACCAACCAGGCACTCGGGGAGACTAAGGTCGACACCTTCATCCTCTCCGTCCTCCGTAAGTACTCCAGTGTCTCCTTATTTAAGAAGTCATGGGTCCACCTGTTCAGGTAATTAAAGGTATGCCGCCTAGATACTGGTAGTTAAGTATATATATATATATATATATATATATATATATATATATATATATATATATATATATATATATATATATATATATATATATATATATATATATATATATATATATATATATATATATATAGTCACACACAGTATATGGAATTGTTTTCTAAATTTTCTCTTTTTAATTTTGCACCACGAATATGCCGCCCGAGTCATCAATATGTAAAACTACTCAATATTCATTCAACAATTCAATTAGGAATGGAAAATATCCTCAAACTAGTTACGGCCCAAAATACAGAGTTTGACGAATTCCTGAAGTTTACCTTCAACAAGTTGAGATAAATTAGATTTTTGTTATTAAGAGAGAACTGAGAGTCATAATTTCTGTGTTGACAAAGAACAAAATCGTGAATTCATCAGGAGACACATTTTTATCCGCCAGCCATAATCCACAGATAATATAATCCACATATTGAAAATTTCACTTTTATTGTTTGTTCGATTTCCATTAAAGACGAGACATAGACTGGCCTGGTGTGGCGGGTCAACCAGGCGCAGCTACGACACAGAGATGTGTGGAAGTGACACTAAATAAAAAAATAACATAATTTAGCTCCAGCCAAAACAATTTTAAGTGCACCCCTCACCTCGTAACACCCAACTTCTCCGCAAACATCACCGACAAATGCCGCAGCAGATGTACCACAGTGCAAATTACAATGAAAATCTAAATACTTCCTACATTATTCAGTTTTATTCTCCTGTTTTTTGTGTGTTTATTTGTTGTTGTGTGTGTTAATGGTGCTCCGCGTACATGTGGTGTGCGTATATATGTACTTACTTGGCACGGTCACGTATAAGAATATGTATCCTTTCATAGTTTACAGAAATTCAGGATAAACATACACAGTCTACGTCATAGTTGTATAGTTTGCGTATATATAGATATGTATACGCAGGCTGTGCAATGTGCGTATTCTTGGCACAACGTACTGATGGCATGCATATACACAATCCAGTTATATACGCCCACATCAGCGTACACCTGCCATGCGTAGTAAACTCTAAACATTCATTGACACATTTGAACATATGACTACACCTCATGATGTGTATTAATGTATACTGGAGTGGGTGAATGGGTGGCGTCGCGGGGGAATGTCGCGGCGGCGGGAGAGGTTCGCGGTCTGGTGGTCATGGGGGGTGGGGGAGGTGTCGTGTTTGTTATGATTTACGTGGAAGATAATTCGTGTGTTTATTTCTTATTGATCTGTTGGTCGTAATAAAGATAACTAAACATTTCGGTGTGTAATTAGGGAAGCTGATTGGTGTATCCACTTTGCGTTAATTCTCCAGTGTTTGGAAACTGTCTCTGGAAAATCAACAAATCGATAACTCGTTCCCTGTTTGTTGTGGAGAAGATAATTAGCATACAGGATACTCGCAGGTCATACAAAGTTGAGAAAGTATGTAATAGGTAAGAATGAGGTTAATGAGGAATACAGGTAATATTTCTTCTTGATAAACCACTCTGAAAGACGCAAATGACATTATTATATAGGTGTTGGTGAGACAAGCTTACGTTCACGCCTGTTCTTTAAAGGGAACAATAATTACACACACACACACACACACACACACACACACACACACACACACACACACACTTCCTTTATGGTTAATCATGTATGTGTTGGTATTCAGGTTGTGTCATCCAATAAACAGTGATATCAGGGAAGTATTTGTGGTGGAAGGCGATGTGTTCTGCTTGATGCTGCTGCTGTGTGAATGAGTGTCAGGAGGCGATGTTGTTTTATGAGCCTTCATTGTTTGGCTCTGGTAGGTGGGAGGAAGAGTGTGTGTGTCTGTGAGGTGGGGGAAAGTGGTGGTGATTGGGGAAGGTTGGTGTGAGGGGGAGAATGGTGGAGGTGGGTGATGGTGGTGGTGTTGGAGAGTGTGAACATTGGTGGACTTGATGTAGGGGACTTGTGGTTAAGATGTTAGGTTTTGATGGATTGATGGAAAAAAAATGTATTAAGAAAGATTGTCTGCCACTGGATGGTATATGGTGGGATATGGTGTATGGTTTGGGATGGTCGGGGGATGGTGGGATGTTGATGGATAGCTGGGTAGTGGTGGATGGTGATGGATGTAGAATAGACAGTGACGGATAGCTGAAAACAGTGATTGGGGAGTAACGGGACTGTAGACAACAGACGAATATTTAGACATATTCTAAAACGTAAACAAACAAACAAAGACAACAATAAACAACAAAGGGGTGAAACAAACAATACTTAAAACCACTGACGTTGAATTCTAAACAAAGTAAAAAAAAAATCACATAAGTCACATTACCTTAAACACCACACATAGTAAATTATAGGTCCTTCTGTTTACATGCTCCCATTGATGTCCTGAGTAATTATATTTCATCGTTGAATATAATCACATCAAATACTCTATATACTATTTTTTTTTTGTTCATTTAGATAGATGGAGTTTGGTTTTATGCGGCCAACTAAATATGCGACATTTTATGAAAGGATCGACAGGCATTTAACATTAGTCATTGAATTTCATGAAAAAAACACAAATCATCAATCTCGATTTTTTTTTTCAGATTAATTTGAATAGTTTTAATCACCTGTCTGTATGTGTGTTGAATGTCCATGCATACATATGTGTACAAACATCCATCAAACACACGTAACAAAGCTTATACATATGTGCATAAATATCCATCAAACACACGCATCATCATCATACATACAATATGTAGACAAGCCTTCGTGAAATTAGTATTATACCAACGTTCTTATATCTAGTTATATGTATACATGATTCCATTTATTTATACAAGTGTTAATACATACGTGAATGGATATCGACTATGCGAGTGGTATTTCTCACTGACAGTCAGTCTGTTGCCTAGCCATAAAATTATATCCATAGGGATAAACTCATCGAAACACACACACACACACACACACACACACACACACACACACACACACACACACACGTAAGTTATCCCACAACATGGGGTTAAAGTCAAACACACACGTTTACACAATAAATTTAATCGCCTCAATCGCTAACTTGGGCGACTTGTGTCTGGCGAGTTACCAAGGGCGTGGGCGTGACGCTAGACGACGCCCGTGCCCTCCCACCACCACGGAGGCACACAGAACCTACCAGCCAACACCTGACTGGGATAAGGGGGGAGGGGGAAATCCACTTGGAGACTAGTGTGTGTGTGTGTGTGTGTGTGTGTGTGTGTGTGTGTGTGTGTGTGTGTGTGTGTGTGTGTGTGTGTGTGTGGATTAATATACATGTATGTCAAATTGTAAGGTACGTGAAATTTTCATTATCACGCTACATTCAACTTTGCATTCGGAAAATTTATGCTCAAAGGAAATCC